CATAGAGATCATTCCCTACCCTAAATACACAAAAAGGAAAAAGAGATGGTAAACAGATAGCACAATCAACAGCATGAAATTTATAGATTTATGCAAGTAGGTATCCTGTTCATTACTGAAGACACAAAGGCAATGATCTTCAGTCATTTGCTCAATATGTCTCCCTCGAAGATTTGTCTCCTTACTTCCCAGACTGGACTATGACTGTTAAACTCCACTATGATGATAAAGGATTCTGGAAGCTGTTCTGTTAAATTACAACATTCTCTTTGATTGATGTTGTCATTTGGAGGCAAATACCCAGAATAAATTGAAACCAAGGTCCTATTTCTTTGAATGACAACAGCTTGAAGGTTAACAGTCAAAAGCAGTGAATTAAAAGGTTAATTAAGTGATGAGACCTACACCTTCACTCCCATGCTCACCTACAAGATTGTCCTTCTGTTGAATGAAAACCTCCAAAGCTTAGCTTATTTCCCTGTTTCAGAAATATCTCCAGCACTGCTAAGCACACAGCATGATGTACACGAATTAAATCTTGAATGCTCACAAGATTTTGACAGAAGTTGCAATTTACTTTCTGTTCTACATCCATCTCAGAATCTGAACTAAAGCTTCCAAACAAGTCTGCACTTTTGAGAGGTTTTATTTTATTATTTTTTTTATTATTATTTTTTATTTATTTATTTATTTATTTTTTTGACATTTCCAGTTTGGTTAGATTTTGTTTACACTATTGATAGAACTGATTTCTGAGCTGTCTTTTCTTGTGCATTTAGAACTGGCTGCTTATTTTGCACACAGATTATCATTTGAATGCCTCTTGATTTTACAGATTTTATTATATTGGTGTAAGATTTATTTCTACATGGCTGCTCAACTGATACTAATTTTATTGCTTCTGCATATGAGATATTCTTCATTACTTTAATTGCCTCCACATCCTCTGATTTCCACTTGGGACTAGTCTGGAGTATGCTGTACATGCAGCTTTGCAGTTTGTACATAATGGCTGAACAATGCAGTTATCATTCTTGTAGCTTTCCACAGAGCATCAAGCACATGTTAATTTGCCATGATAGGACATCTTAAATAGCCAAAATGATAGCATTGGAAATATCGCAAAGGATTTGGTATGTAAAGTCTTACAAGACAGTGTAAATACATAGCCTTAATACATTTTGGTAACAGAAGATTAGGATTATGCATTTCATATTTATCAACTGACTATTTTTACAGATATTGATCCACTTAGCAGCACAGGCACTCTGGTCAAACAGCACAAAGACCATTTCCTTTTCTCAAAAAAAGAGGAGTTCAGTCTTAAGAGATTATGTCATAAATATAAGTTGATGATTTATTTTTTGAAACATTCACATCAACTTGCCTTAGTTTTAAAAGTTTAAACAAAAAAGGGTAACAGACTGAGCAGGAGAAACAGTTTAAATTAGAATATCTCCACAGCACAGCCTTTTGATGTTCTTTGTTTCACTAATACAGAATTGTATACATTTCTGTATTTAAAATAGTGACACTTTCTGAAGATTTCCTATTGAATTACTAATTATAAGAAATTGTGATGAGTTTTATTATTGTCAGCACTTATACTAGTCTTAACTTTGTTTTAGAAATAGGAATATTTACATTTTGTTCATCTGTTTGTATATTAGAAGCCATATTTAAAGAGATAAAAGATTCGAACTTAGCAGCCCCACCCACCACAGAGTCCAACATGGCGAAGCAGATTCCTGCGCAGGGTTTATTGAGTCTATAAGCAATCTGGAGCCCCACAGTCTTTCCTGAAAGCTTATCCCCAAGCCACTGACACTAAGAACTAGTGACTAACCGATTACTACTAGCAGGAACAGCTAAGTGCATTCCCTTTCAATTTGAAGTAGAGCCCAAAGCAGTATCATACTTGCCAACCTATGACATTCTAAAGAAATCAGGAGATTTTTCACAATGTTAAAAAGACTTTTTAATGATGAAAATATAGTTTTCAATAATGAATTAAGTTTAAATAGTTACTAATTCTTAATGCAAGCAACCACAAAATACCTTACCATAAAAACATTTTTATTTACTTGCATCGTTTAAGAAAACAAACAACAAAATAGACACTTTAGTCAGTTTTCGTACAAATGTTATGAACAGTGACAGATTTGCTTTTGTTAAGAAAGAAACTTCATAATTTTGTTCATAGCAATTGCCACATAGGCCTGCTTTTGGTAATAAAAGTTTTTCTAATATGTCATCACTGATATTAGATATAAATTTAGTCCTTGTTTTCCCAACAACACTGAACACTCTGCATGACTACGGGGAACTGTCAAGATGGCCAACATAATTCTAGATGGTTCACTATATTTTAAAATTCCATCAGCACCTTTCAGTTTTCCAATTAAATCCACTGGGTGTCAATCCTAGCTGATTTGTAAACTTCATCCAATTTTTCTAATTGTAAACTGCAAAATCGTGACTGCAATATTATCAGTGGTAACATCAATATCATCATCTTTCATGACTACATGAAGTAACACAGGAATCTGTTCAAAAAGCACCTTATATCAGAAAAAGATCCATTTGCTAGAGCAGACACATCAGCAACTTTAGCATGCAAAATCACTTTATCGCTCACTGGAAACTTATGTAATATGTAATCACATACTCGACAGAAGTAACTTCTAACATGAAGATAAAACTTATTTTTGTCTTCTTCTGACAGTTCTTCCACTACTTTTGTAGGGCAGCTCCTATTCCAAATCATCTTTCTTCTGATTTTCTATTTCACCATAAATCCCATCATATATAGAATTACAAGACAAAACGCAGACTGATTTACAACTTTGATAAAATGTCTTTAAACATCATAAATCATGATTGCAAAACATGAGTTAATGATTCTGCTTTGTAGAACGTGTTAAGAACATCGAATGAGGCAAAATGAATTGTAAAAAACAAAGCTTTGTTAAGGCCGAAGAAAAAGCATAATATTCGTTCTTCACAAGATAACTTACGTAATCAGAAAATGTTTTCGTGCGGTTAAGCAATTTTTTATTTTGCGAGAAACTTGTATCAGTTTTATGCTTTACTTTGCAGTATTATTTTGAGAACTGCAGTTAATTGCTGAATAGTGCAGAAAAATTTTTCTCACCTTGTTTTTAACAAGGAAGTAGTAACTACATCTCATTTACTTTAGGTATTTTGTACTTTCACAGAGCCTTTATCTTACTCGCGAAGCATTACTTCTTCTTTAAAAAATGCAAGAATGGGTCCATTGATCGAGGATTCTAGATAAGCATTTCTTAAAGACAGGCCAGCATGTACACACGTTTCAAAATTTTTTTTCAGTAGGATGCAGCTGTCTGATCTGTTTCAATTTTTCCTTCCTTTTAGAACTCCTTCAAGATAATAATAAATATCAACCGATTTCATTACGGGAAAAGTTTTCTAATAAAGCTGCAGCAGATCCGATGCATTCAGTTGCAGGTTGTGCTCCAGTAAAAAGGCAGAAAAAGACATTCTGCATAAATACTTTTTGTCTTTTATTCCCAAATAAAATTTAAATTTTTTTTTTTTTTTTTTTTTCAAAACACTCCTGTTGTCTTGTGTTTTGTGTATGCACATGTTTGAGAACATCCGCCCTTCACATGCAAAATAAAAAAATCGCAACGCACAGACAGTATACACATCGCAAATTGTTACATTTCCTGAGGAAATATGGAGGAAAGTCAACTGGTGTACGATTTGTTAACGTCATGAGTAATTCACTTTCCGCAGATAACAAAAGATAACTTCTAAACATTTTCTGAAGGCACGTGTACTCACACAATCAGGACAAGGACGGAATAACTAAATATCATCCAAATAACAGCCTTGGTGCTCTGTGGCTCTCATGGCTAATAACAGATGACACCCGTGGACTCGATGCCCATTGCTGAGACGACGTTTCTGGACGGCTCTCACTAACAAAGCAAAGGTCTCATCTGATTCGCAAGGTTTGTTTAGATATTCTAGAGAAAATTCAATGCTTTCAGAATGGCCAAAATACTTTTTTTTTTTTTTTTTTTGCTCATATAACGAAGTATTAAGTTCCATAAAAATCGTGAGAAATTTTAAGAATAAAAAAAAGGCGGAAGAAATATATTGCAAATCGTGTTGGCGGGAGAGCGATCGAAAATCAGGAGTGTCCTGCCTAAATCGGAAGAGTTGCCAACTCTGCAGTATGATGAAGACAGTACTTCCCCCTTCAGCTACTAGGAACCTCCTTTTCAGCCTTACGAGTCATAACCCGTGGCAAACATATGGGTGGTTTTCTATCAACGAGAAACTAGAAACAAGAAAAATGTTACAGAATCTCACTTTGAGCCCCAGGCTCCAAAAAGGAAAACCACAAGGATGGAAGAAACAGAAATAGGACAGATAATGAGAAATGAAAGAAGGAAAGATCACTAGGGCTCCAAGATCATGACCTCCATCTCACCAAAATAGTTATCCCATATAAAAGGCTAGAATGTTCTGGAGTTAAGAATGTGCAACTGAGGATACATATTAACAGTAATTACACAAATTATACATAAGACCAAAATAAAGATACACAAGAAATGATTGGAAATGATCAACTGTACACAAAAAATAATTGTAAGTGTAAATTTATCCCATTTTACTTTTCTTTAATATGCTTTTATTATTTATATGTGTTAAGTATCATATGTTTAGTAATTCCTGTCCACATGCAGTACAATTTTTATGCTTGAAATTTTCTCTCAAAGTGGCCAAAGTATCAACTTTTCTAGCAATTTGAAATTGCAGTAAAATTAAATGATATAAATGCATAAGTAAAAAATTTACAAACAAAAATTTGCTCCATCATACATATATCATAAATTTTAAGCTCCTATTTCTTACTATTTAAGCATTGTAAAATAGTTCATCTTATACAGTTTCTTTCATAATGTATTTATTACAATCTTATACATAAAATTTATTTCAATACTAACTTCACTTGCTGACGTTGTGTAGATGTAAAACTTATGGGTACAGTTAAGACAGTTGGATAAACATCTTCATGACTATGACTGCGAGCAATTTCTAGAAAAATTATTAAAAGAAGTAACTATGAGGAATAAAATTTAATTAAATACATAAGTGAAATTTATACCTTATTATTTCATACAAAAAGCAATGATATATACATATTTGATTGAGGAAAAGCAGTTTCAAATCATGTTATATTAATTTAAACAAAACAAATATTGTTCATTTATTATTTTAAAACAATTAACTACTATATATATTTATGCATGAATATTATTTTTAGTAATGTATTATGAAAACAGATGTGGCAAACCATCTGAAGAAAGAATTATATTTTTCAAAACATGCTTAATTTTCTACTGAAGTTTTCCAGGCTTTTCAAAATTCCAAAATTCTTTTGTTTTATACATTCTTCAGTTATTTTCTTTCCTTTAAAATTGTATGCATAAATATTCTGGACAAAAGCTGCTGTGTGCATTATTAATATTTCTTCTTTCCATTCTATGCAAATTATTCTAATCTACATTCAGACAACATACTATAATTTTCTGTAACTTCTACACTACCTTTCTGTTGACAAAATTTGGATTTCATATTGAGGATAGAATAAGGTGTGTTTCAATTTTGCTATTCTACCCAACACCCAACAAAATGAGATAGTGACAAAAAAAATTAATTGTATTTAATTTAGTTTCATAATTTGAAAAGCGAATCAGCTTTGCATTTTCACAAGTTGCACATTTACAGTACTTTATTACTAAATAGAATATTAAAGAAAGCCTACTCAAAGAGGTTGGCATTCAGGAAAATAAAATTAAAACCCGACATGCTGTCAGATTTAGATGTTTGAAGTATTCTATGCTTTCTGTATAAGCATTTACTACTAGCAACTACATTTATAATGAATACTTTAAAAATTAATATCAGGAGAAGCACAGTTCCCACTGAAATTCAACTTTCAATTTTATTTCCCAAATAAACAATTTTCTATACCAAATATAATGAGTTGGTTTCCAAATTAAGTACAAGTAACTGAATAATTTTACATACTTATTACAAAATGTAGTGCAACAACTAAGAATACTACAGAAAAAATTATCTTACTTATATATTAATCAAAATGTGAATTATATGTAGATTTTGAGTTTCGAAGCCAAGAACATTGAGCAAGTTGAGATATATCTCCCGTAGGTTGTGCATGCTGTCATGCAATGTGGAGGTAGTAATTATCAACTTGTAATCTTGCTGCAGAATTGCATTTTTAACACTGTTATCTGGAGCTCTCTCGAAAGAGGGGCCAAAGTTACACCCCAGCCTAGCATCAGTGATCACTGACAACCCCAAGGTACCAGTAACCACACAAAGCATTCGCTGCACTTGTTGCTGCCCTAAAACAGCCTGCAGTAGTTCCTTTAAATTTTTACAAACCCAACATGGCTGAGCACAAAGTACAAGAAAAATATGCAAAGTCGGCTTTGGCAGATTAATGGGCCTCTCTGTCAAAAGGCAGCTTTGTAACATTCAAATACAGAAAGGAGCAGAACAGTTAGATACATCTTCAAATAATGTCATGGACTTTAATGACAAAATGTACGAGTGTTTGGAAAATCTGGAAGGACTCTTATTCCGAAAGAGAATTTCTAAGAAACTCGCATAGCATGATTTCTACTTATATCATTGTATAAAACAAAGTCAGCAACCTCCAAAAATCACAAAATTCTTTCACAGAAGGAAACAGAAAGGCAATGTGGAAGTGACAGAAAATTCTAACATTGTTACTGAATTAGTTAGAAATAATGTACTCACCTTGTAATAGTTGGCCTACCTTTCTGTTATATCAAAACTCCATTACAGTAAAGTACAAGATGCAATTTCATGTTTGTTGCATGTAAATTTATTAAAAGATCATAACTTGATGTCACATGAGCATTATAAACTTACACACAGTATCAACATTCTTGAAAAATTTACATTAACCACTTGCATTAAAAAGAGGTGCCACGCACCTCGAGATGCTTTTGTCTCAAACCGCACACAAAAATGAAAATATCCTGCTGCACTCGTAGCCCAAAAACGAGATTGTTTATTTCTTGAGTTACAGCTCTGGATTGCACTCTCAGATGCGGAGCATCGTAAATGAGACACTTTACCACTTGTTATATTGTAGCGCATGGCATCACAACCGTGAAGTTTAGTCATAGTGCAAGTGGTTAATTTAACAGATCTATGGCTTCTTGGCTTATAACTATACACTTACCTCACAAGTGTTTGATGAAGCAGGATATGCAATTTATTAGATAGAGAGACCTGATTCAAACAGTACAAAAATGCTAATATTGATATCTTTTCAGCTCAGGCATAAGAAGGCACTGCTCTGATCTCAGCGATAAAACCAAACAGGCTGGCAATACACATAACCTAGCAATTTATGATTACCTAATAGTCGTGATGAAAATATTTTTTAGCATTCTGCTCTTTTGCAGTATATTCATTATACATCTTCATTCAGCTTTCTTTATCCATAGTACTGTTTATATCTTAAGATGATATTCTACAAATAATGCATATCCAAAATATTATTGATAAGGCTGAACAGAAGTGCTGCAAATTCTGTACTGTCTTTATGATAGGCATTCACTATCTCACTTTCTTGCTCATGATATTGGTCCACATAGCCAATCAATAAACAGCTGCCAAGATTTGTTTTTCTTGTCTAGATACATCACAGTTTTGTATACTATAGATGGTAACATCATACTTAAATCCACCGGTTCCATTTGTACTTATTCTATTACAGGAACAATATTGAAGGAAACATCTCACAGTACATCATACTGGGAAAATGTACATGGCAGAAAAGAATCTTGGCATCGTGAATTTCCTAAATTCTAAAATATATATGAAGTTGTACTGAAGTTGCAACTTTATGGACTAACACCATTGCTCTCACATCAAAATGCTGGCAAGCTGACAGCAAAAAGATGTGTTAGATTAGTATCAAAATGTTCAATTCTAATATATCAAACATTTGCAATATAGAAATATTTTAGGGCAGTAAAATAATAATTAGGAATTTTAAACAATAAAGAATATAAAAAGAAAAACATTTAGAGCATAAATTGAAGTCATACCTTTCATTGCTGTGAACAAAATAGTTAAAATTTCAGAAATTGAATACTGTAGAGAAATATTTTTTTCTAAGTCCAGCTTAGTTCCATTTTTTCCATTTAGCTATTAGAGATAAAAGCAGTATGTAATACAAACTATCAGAAAGTTTAAAAAGATATTTAAACAACCATCACTGTAGCTAGCCAAGTAATAAATATTTTATAAAAAGCATTATAAATAAAGAAAAAGATAAATGCTATTAAAAATGTGTTTAGAAACTGAATTCATTCTATAATGCTTAAATACTAAAATGGTATTTCTTAATTATCCACATCCCCTTTGAAAAGTCATAAAAACATGCTCAATAAACAAAGCAGATTGTTGCCAAAATAATTATGTGGCAACCCAAGATACTACTACAAACTATGTTCCAGCTCAGCTATGCATATAACATGTGTCTATTTTGATCACAGCACAATGCTAAAGCTGTAGAATACTGAGTTGTGTAATTCTTTGATTTTCTTATGGAGAAACAGATAGCTATATACATGGAAAGAACAACAGAATAAAAAGGATTTCTAAATAATAATAATAATAATAATAATAAGTATTCCATCACAAATATTTCTTGCTTTTTCAATTTTACAGAATGATTGCTCTTGTATGGAATTCTTGGTGCACCACCATTTTGAATATGGCTGTTGCTTTTCATGCATTAGCTTGCCAAAAAATCAATCAGTAATAAACCTGCTACTTTTCATACAGAATGCAGATAATCAGAAAGCACCAACTTTTCTCTTATTTCAAAGGTGTTTGTATTATTTTTGTACCCAATCTGCATGTACAAAATCACTCTCAGGTAGTGTCTACGCATTTCAAAATCTTGCATATTTTTTGTTGATTAGGCAATAAAATGTTAATCAGCATATCACAGGAATTTTAAGTGAATTTTATTGAAATTACTATTAATGCATCTTATAAGGAGAAGAATTAACAAACTATTCCAGCAGAGCAGATTTACAAATATAACACTTAAGGGTGTGCTTCGACAACAATGAACTTAAAAAACTTTTGAATAGAAAACTCTAAATCTTATAACATTTTTAGAAAACACTATCTGTATATTTTATAAAAGCAAAGAAAACAGAACCATAAGGTTTCAGAAATAATAATAATAATACCTGAATTATGCACTAACAAATTATTTGATTACTTAGCTAAATACATAAAATAATGTTAATCAATTTTACAGAATACTTCAAAAATCCATAAAGGGCATTCTATGAAAAATAAGCTGAAAGTTTTATATTGGCAATGATTCAATATTTTGCAAAAATATTTTACTGTTAATAGTTTAGACATTTACCCTAGCAGGACAAGAAACAATCAGTAACATTCTCATAAAAGTTCTTAGGTTGTTCATAGAACTATTACTTAACTCTCCCCCCCCCCGTATGTTATCATCTGACTGGAATTGTTGTTCTCCCAAATTTTTAGCTCACTAAAATCAGTGAAACCACAGACTGGAAGTCCAGACTGTCAAAAGAAAATGGGGGCTTTCCCACTGAATTCTTTCTGCAGAGCCCCCACCAGCAGCCAAGTCATTAAAGACTGCTAATTAAATACAGGTAGTTTTTCCTGGGTTCGGCTGGCTGCATAGTTGTATTTTATTATTTTTTCTATGCATAGCAAAAATATAAGCCAGTTTCCCTTGAAAAATCCTACATGAAGGCATCCCTTTATTATGCAGATAGCCCTTGCATGCTTTGCCATACTCAAATAACCAATCAAATTGTGCCATCCACTGTTAGTGTTAGCAAGTAGAAAAATGCCACTGGAAAGTCTTCCAGGTGTTTTTGTCTAACAAGTAACTATTGCTATGTAGTCAGCATCTCTCCACAATGTTGTGAATGCTTTGTGTTCTTGTGTGGAACTTTGGGTTCCATTAAGACAATATAGATTAAGAATTCTGTGAAATCAAAATAGAACAAGAAAAGAGAGTGGGCTACCCTAATCAAAGATAAATGCTAGTGTACGTTTCTTGCACCTTAAATTTTTCAGGTAGAAGGGAACCAAAATGTCTTCAATAGAGAGACTGGTACTTTGATTTTGATTCAAAATGAGAAGACTACTTCATTAGTGATTATCTGTGACAGGGAATCATCCCTTTTTATGATATCGTGCTGTAGATACTGCACAGACATAACCATACAACATATTTCTTTGTGTCTTGTTAATGAGTCATCTAAAAGGTCTTTTATATATATATATATATATATATATTATATATATAAAACTAATGACGTGTGCAAAACACAGTAATACTTCATTGAATCACACGAGTACCATTTTATACTATTACTTTTTGCCATTCTTCAGACAATTCAAAAATTCCTTTTTTTTTTTTTTTTTTTTTTCAAAAAGTCATTAGATTTATTCATGAATTTGATTTGAAAAACCGCAGAAATTTTGAGATGAACCAATACTTGGTATTCTTGTTTAAAAAATCTAACATGGACACCATATAACTTCTTTGTATGGCCTATTAAATTATACACATATTTTTGCTACACTTTATTTAAAACTTTTTCCCTTATCCTCAGCATCCCTAACCAATATGAAAATAAACACAAAAAAAATTGATTTGAAATTAAATATTCTGCCAATTTTTGCAATAGGGTTCAACTTTTATCTCGGGATTTAACGAAGTACCGCCACTTCAATACATCTGCACAAATAGTTTGTGTTACCAGTTTAATCATTGTGTCAAACCTCTGGCATTTGAAAGAAAGAGACTTGCTTTAGAACACTGTGCTGTGAAATTAGAAAAAAAGATTGTTATCATTAAGTACAAGATGTCTGAAATGAAACTATCATGCTACCAGATTAGAAACCATCATTTACTTCCAGTTCTGTTCCAAAGGTCAGCTACATAATGTCACCAAATCATGTGTACAGCTAATGTCACCAAATCACAGCTTTAGATACTAATGTTCTATCATATGACACTGAGAAGGTTTGGTACCGAAAGTTCACAAATAAGGACTATGACATTCAGGAAGCAAAGTGCTCTGGCCGACCTACTGTTGTTGATGAGGCCCGCCAGTGAGAACTTGTGGAAGAAGAGCACTCGAGAGCTTGCTAAGAAGTTAGGCATTACTACCATGTCCATTAAGTCATGTTAGGTATCGCATTAACTTGACATACACATTCAATCGTTGGGTGCCACGTGAGCTGACTCAAGCAGATCAGACTGCCATGTTCTAGACTGCACTAATCTGCTCAAATATCAATGTAAGGAAAAAATTCTGCACTGGATCATCACTTGTGATGAAAAGTGGATTTACATCAACAATACAGGTCAAAAAGGAGGTTAGTTAAATCTCCTTGCCCACCTCTCCCTATGCCACTGCTTGCTAAGATTATGCATTGCATAAACTTGACGTACAAATTCAATCACTGTGGGCCGCATGAGCCGACTCAAGCAGATATGAACAGACTTCGGGGCCTGCAATAATCTGCTCAAATATCAAACCAAGGACAAAATTCTGCGCCGGGTCGTCACTTATGATAAAAAGTGGATTTACTTTAACAACACAGGCTGAAAAGGGAGTTGGTCTACACCCGGTGAGCCCATCAGCAGCATCGCAAAACACAATTTGACTAGCAAAAAGATCATGTTTCGTATCTGGTGGGATTACTGCGGTATTATCCACAAAGAGTATATCGAAAAAAGCAAAACTCTCCGCAGTAATGTGTACAATGAGACGCTAGTCCATATTGACATTGTTATCAAGGAAAAACATCAAACTGAGTTCCAGTGCAAAAAAGGTAATGTTCCATCAAGATAAACCAAGAACCACATGTGTCTGCATTCATCGGCTGGACTCTTTATAGACTCGAATGGGATCTTTTGCCATGCCCTAATATAGCCCTGACATTGCTCCTTTGGACTTCTACCTTTTTTCACACCTGCAGCTACATCTTCCTGGTCTATCTTCATTGTGCACAGGATGTCCAAAATGAGGTTGATCTGTTTTTGGACTCGTGGCAACCAAGTTTCGGGGCGGAAGGCTTTGAAAAGCTACGAAAACGTCGGCAGAAAAATCATAGATTTGGGCAGTGATTACTACCCATCCTAAAGTTACTGCTTTCATGTTCCCCCCTAACTTTATTGAGAACGTTATTCGGCGGAAAACTTCCATTATAACCAGATATTTTTATTTTTTCAAATCGAGATCTTCCCGAATGTAAGTATACAAACCAAGAGACCCTATTAAAAGTTAGATTTCGCTACTTGTCATAAATAATATTTTTTTAATTTGACATTAACAAAACATGAATATTTTCATCATTTAAGCCACTTCTGAAATTGGAAGTATATAACTACAACCAATGATTGTAAAAATATAGACTAGGCAAGGGCTTTTACTTTGGGTAAGGAGATGAATATATGTAATTATATATAGTTACAATACAATTTTTTTTAATCTAATTAATAATATCTGTATTTTCACACATATCCTGCTGAAAAATACAGTAAAATAATCGAAATTAGAACAATTTACAAGACCAAATTTGATAAGTAATAAATTTCATAAAATCCATAATCAAAAAGATTCATCACTGTCAAACTAAAAATTTTAACAAGTAATACACTAATTTTAAAATAATCAATGAAATTTAAAGAAAAGAGTACACTAGAAGAGGAATTTAATCAACTTCAATGCTACTTCAACAGGAGGAGGAACAGTAAAATCAACTGAAATCTCTTTCAGAAAAAAATCCTTCCTTTTCTGTATCCAGAATTAGCTGATGATCATTCCGATGTATTTTAATTATAATAGTTCACCCGAAAATTCTGGTCCTCCCCAAAGTTAAGTAAAAAAAAAAAGAGTTAATTCTAAGCATAATTCTACTTTTAAACAAAGAATTGAAACCAAAAGTGAAATAATAAAATACTTTAGTGTAAATTTCAAATCAAAATTTTACCTTTAAACAAAGAGAACTTATCCACAGAATTGAAAACTTAAGTGAAATTATTAAATCCAAACGTAACTGAAATATACATAATTAAAAAAACTTCTAGAACTTTCACTTAGAACCCCTACCTAACTATGAAA